ACCCCTCAGCCACTTCAGGTCTGACCCCGCTCCACCCCCCCCATCCCCAGTTTGGGTCGGACCCTGCCCCCCCATTCAGGTCCAACCCTGCTCCAAACCTTCCTTCACCCCCGGTTTGGGTTGAACCCTACCCTGGTTCAGGTCCAACCCTGCTTCCCTCTCTCCCCCCAAATTTTATGGTGGTTTTGCAAAGCAGGTAAGTGTCAAGTTAGTACCAGTCTTTGCCAGTAGTTTGTTTTATTTATGTCACAAAACAACTTAGGAAGTCAGGCTTGCAAAGTCTGTGCCTAGTGCCCTTTCAGTCTCAGGACTAAAGGCCTTGTGATTGAATTAGACTTAAAATAGTACTAGGACATAAATTCTGCAATTAATTTTTTTCTTCACTTCAGAACTCAACAAAGAAGGGAAAAGTAGAAACCTTTGTTATAAACCCTAAGTGTGTCAGTCTTGGAGAGCTCTTTGGACAGACTGATCCTAGCACCATGGAGTGGTCTGATGGACTGTTGGCATCAGCAGTTCGAACATTTGCAAAACATTCCATCAAAAAACCAAAAAAAAAGGAGGCAAATACTGATGCCACCTCAGAGATTCAGGACTGTTATACTGTGAGTTCAAAAGTTATTTTAATAGGAAGAATTACATTAGAGTCTAACATGACTTGTAATCTGAGCCAGCTGCAGGACTTTGAGTTATGCCAGAGGTTTTCAACCTTTTTAGATCAGTGTACCCTGGCGTCTGGATACGGAGAAGTGTACCCCTGGTGTCTGGACGTGGAGTTGGGGGGAGTACGTGGCTGAATGCAGAGTGGTGGCAGCCATCACATGCGAGCTTCCCCCGCATATGGCCAAGTGCGCGGTGCCTGCGTGGCAGCACAGGATGGTGCATGGTGGTGCTCCATCCTCACCCAGCTGCGCATACCCCCTAGGGCCTTCTCAAGTCCCCCTGGGGGTATGCGTACTCCTGGTTGACAACCTCTGAGTTATGCCAAAAGCTATCCTTGGAGCTCACTCCCCCACTCACTCCTTTCCTCAGTTATCCTTTTCTATACTCACTTCCTTTAAGAAGAAGAGCTAGCAGAATGTCAGTTAATACTGTTCTGATCAAATGTTGCTGTTAATGAACTCAATTAACGCTTTATCTTTGATCAAGATTTCATCCTTGGGGCTATAGTTTCTAGTCACATGTTTAATTTTGAACTATTCTTCAATGTCAGGGATCTCCAAAAACAAATGGATTTCTTTTAGATGTGGGTCTCACAAATAGTTCTTCTTGCATACCTCCAAACTGCTAAGTTTAATGCTTACATTTCATGACTGAGATTTCACCCATTACAGGGAGAGTGGGGTCTAAGAGGATGTGAGCCACCTTTGTGCCTCCCTGGCACTGTACTGCTTTGCTAGAATGGGCTCTTAATTGTATATGTGGTATAAGTATAATTTGTACAGTAAATATTACTATTTCTGCTTATTTTAGTTGAACACCTTGGAACAAACCAATTCTTCAGTGGCAGTAAGAAGCAAACAAGCAACAACATTTCCTTATAATGACTGTAAGTACTCTGAATATACAAATATTGAACAAATGATAGGCAAGGTTCTTTGATTAGATATGATATCTTTTATTAGACCAACTGAGTAGTTGGAAAAAAGTTCTTCACAAGCTTTCAGGTACAATCACCATGGTAAACATTATTTAACAAAAGGAACTCCTTTCACTCAATTTCTGTTTCTTCTCTGTCTCCACAATGATGAGCTAGAACTGAGGAAGAGGAGGAACCTATGATAAACTCATAAGTAAGCTACAGAAGTATGGGTTGGATGAAGGAACTGTAAGGTGGATAGAAAACTGACTGGATCATTGAGCTTAGAGGGTAGTAATCTTTTGGCAGCTGGTATCAAGTGGAGTGCCCCAGGGGTTGGTCCTGGGACTGAGTTTGCTTAATATTTTCATCAGTGACTTGGAAGATGGGATGGAGTGCACCATCAGCAAGTTTACAGATGATACCAAGCTGGGGGGAATAGTAGATGTACTGGAGGGTAGGGCTTGGATTCAGAGAGACCTTGACAAATTGAAGGATTAGGCCAAAAGAAATCTCATGAGATTCAATAAGGACAAGTGCAAAGTCCTCCACTTAGGATGGAACAATCCCATGTACCAGTACAGCCTGGGGATCGATTGGCTAAAAAGCAGCTCTACAGAGAAGGACCTGAGGGTTATAGTAGACAATAAGATGAATATGAGCCAACAGTGTGCCCTTGTTGCAAAGAAGGGTAATGGCATATTGGGCTGCATTAGTAGTAGGAGTGTTGCTAGCAGATCCAGGGAAGTGAATATTCCCCTCTTCAGCACTGGTGAGTCCACATCTGGAGTACTGTGTCCAGTTTTGGGTCCCTCACTACAGAAAGGATGTGGACAAGTTGGAGAGAGTCTAGTGGAGGGCATGACTTCTGAGGAGAGGCTGAGAGAACTGGGCTTATTTAATCTGGAGAAGAGAAGACTAAGGGGGGATTTAGCAGCAGCCTTCAACTACCTGAATAGAGAGGTTGTGGAACCTCCCTTCTTAGTGGTTTTTAAGGCCTGGCTAGACAAAGTCTTGGGTGGGATGATCTAGTTGGCGATGGCTCTGCTTTGAGCAGCAGGTTGGACTAGATGACCTCCTGAGGTCCCTTCCAACCCTCATTTTCTATGATTCTATGGTACTATGGACCTGTAACCATCATTCACTTGGCCAGTTTTCCTAAATATTCCAATTTAAAACATAGGGATCACTTACTGGCCCAATTTTGATGGACTTATTTGCAGTGAATATTACCTTAGAACCTTTTTCATTAAGCTGTCTAGTGGTGCTGACACTCTGCGCTGATGAATCTAAAATTTTGGTGGGTACTACAATAGACAGAATTTTTTTAAGAGTTTTTCTACAAATAATTGACCATATACACGTTCTGAATACTGGGTTTGTCCCATACGAGGAGCCTTTGGCTAGAGCCTGTTTGCCTTGGCAGTACCTATAGTCTGGAACCAGTTTTGGCAATGGCATGGTCAGCACTGGCTTAGTGCATGTTCCATGCCAGAGGCAGATCTCCTCTGAGTATTCCTCAGTACTTGGCCCTTCTTCTTTAGACCTGTTTAGTCTCCATTACAAAGGGGAAGGGGAAGGTTTATAGAATCTTTTGAATCTTCATTTCCCTCTGAAGGTGCCCCATCTCCATCTTTTTGAAGATCCTGGAAAATTCCAAGAACTGATGTATGGTCTGGCACATCCTGACATCCTGCCTTCCTATGGACAAGCAGGCAGGTAGAAAATATAGGGTTCTCCCCAGGAAAGCCAAATGTCTTCATCACAAGTGTTTGTGTTTGCCAATGAAAAGGGCAGAGCAGGGGTGTCAGTCACTTGGCCCTCTAGGCTGTATGTGGACCATGGGACTCCTCACAGCCTGGAACTGGACCATAATTTAAACCTGTTTAAATGAGGGAAAATCATTTGTTATTTATCTCACAGTGAAAGCACAATAAGAGCAGGCGCATGAAACAGTTATAGCATGTAGCTGTCCTCATCTTCAGTCGCCTGAATTTGGGGGTGATCCTGCAAAAGCATTTAAAAAGTCAATCATTCTAACAGTCTACCTGAGGAAATGCTAATCAAAGAATTCCTGATGTTGCAGTGAGTGTAGATATGAATCAGTAGTCCAATTTTTGACACGAATGTTTAACTACGCTCCCTGTAATGCCATCTGCAAATCTATGGCAGATGTGTGATCAGGGACTTCAACCAGGTTGTATCCAGTACTAGCTATTTCAGTGGCATCTCTTATTCATGCAACCCTTCCCCTCCCCCCCACAAAAAAAGAGTGGTCTTATGGGATTGGATTAGTGGTCCATCAAATCAAGTGTCCCATTTACAACAGTAACAACAGTATAGTACCATCTACTTCAGAAGAAGGCATGAAATACCATGTGGGTGTGCGGGCCGGGAGCGGTCCGAGGCCCTTTTTTTTCACGCGGCGGGCTGTGGCCAGCAGCCCGGACACGCTGGGTCAGGGAAGGCAGGCGGCACGCTAGAATTAGGCACGGACGCTTAATGGTTGATTTAAGATTATTTACTTACACCGTAGATGGTCGCGGTGCAGGCTGGAAAACTTCCAGGAAAACTTCGCTTAAGTCCCAGTTTAAGGACTCGGACAGAGCTCTGGATTCACTCACACAAAGTTTGCTAGGCTCCGTGGAACTTGCGCGCAGGGAAGGGTACGTCGAGGGATCAGGCGGCGATGGGGAGAGGCGAGAGGCTGATCAGACCCCTATAGCCTTCCTGATATACACGCTGGGTCCGATAGGCTCCGCAGCGCTTAGAGATCTTCACGAGGCATGAAGTCTCCTCCTCCTGATGTTCGTGGAGTCCTCCAACTTGGGCGGAAACCACTCAAGCCTCTTATACGGCTAGAAAGCCAATCGCTAGCCGCCACATAGGAATAATTTAGACCTGACCAATAGTGGGGCACAAATTTGAATACAAATGGCAGGAACTCCTTGCAACGTGCATTTCTGTGTTGCAACGAAGAAATGCACCCTGCAAAGAAAGCTACAAGTGGCGGGAAATAATTCAGCAGTGCCGAAGTGCACACAAACAAAAAATCACACCCTTGGGTTGTGACAGTTTCTGATCACTTAAACTGGTTTATATGTAACTTCTGTCCCTAGCCAATAAGTGTTAAGTTTAAAGTGTGACACCACCCTAAATTGTTTATTTTTTTTGCATCATAAAACTACAAGCAGTCTTTAAAGTGTTGTTAGCATATTATTATAGGAAACTGCAGTGATGTCCATTCAGTCGATGAGAAATACTATTTCTGTTTTGAATTCACGCTTTTAGTTCACTTGTCATTCAACCCCATCTCTGTGAGCAAGGAAGAATTTTAATCTGGACACAAACTAATCCCAGTAAGCCATGGGTTTCATATTATCTATCAATCAGATATCAAATTTCTGTGTTAAAAATGTCTAGTTTTTTTTTTGTTCTTTTTCTTATTTTGCATTTTATCATTTGCCCACAAGTGCACGCAAGGCTGGAAAATACTTGATCTGTTTAACCACTTGAAGCTTTTTGATTGAGACTTTTCCTTTTGCAGGTTTAATTGCCTGTAGGATTTGAGGACTTGAAAATTGCAGTACAGAAGCATGTGTGACTTGAGGGGGGAAGGGCATGTCTTGCTTTTTTTCTTCCTTCCTTCCTGAGCCTGGCAGGCCGCCTTCTGCCTCCAGCCTCGAGCCCGGACACTGTGTTTCCCACAGCTGCTGAGGGAGCCTCTGGTGCACAACTCAGCCCTGTCGTGCCCCGTCCCGAGCCTGGCCTCTGCCAGCCTCACAGCCACCCTCATCCAGGCGCGTGTCCTCTGCCTGCACCATCTCCTGGACCCCGCTCGGTCAGCCTGGCTCTTGCCCGAGGCGCTGGCCGCACGGCTGGGCATGCGCTCCGTCCGCACCATGGGTCATCTCCTGTGTGACATCCGCGCCGCCCTCCTGCCGGTGGTGGCGGCCGGCTTGGGCGCACATC